CGCTGTGATGACGTCAAATGCGCGCTTTCGTCGAACGCGATTTTGTCCTCCGCGGTTTTGTGGTGGAACCAGTGCTGCATTTCTCCTGCGCATACTTGCCACAACTTAGAAAAGCCAAACCCAGCAATAGCACCTGTCAGGTGAAAAGGAGCAAAGACTGCACACCTGAGCAGCTGTTTCCTTCTCAGAACTACAGTTATGCACATGTAGAGTCCCAATTACAACCCATCCCCCGGTGCCATGGCTTCTCAGTATACACACCGGGGGCTCCATTTAAATATATGAAGCAGGAAGAACCTCCTTGTGCTGCACATTGTGGGTTCACTTTTATACCTACGGCCCACAATTATCACATGGACACCATTATTGCCGCAGGATAATTTCGGATCCCTCCCATGCTAGCAGTTTCATATTGCAACAGGTTTGTACCCACTTTAAATGCTGCGCATGTGCACCAGCAGATGTGCATGATCACAATGGAGATGGGGATGATGTTGCCTTCAATGCTTTACAATGAAAACCTCAAAGAACTATTCAGCTAAACAGCTCCATTGCTTAATGGGTTCCATCAGCAAGGGAAAATTTGGCATGTGTGAATGAACCATTAGAAAAATGCCACCTTTTCCCACCCACTCCAACAATACTTTCCACTAAATTAGTTTTTATTCATACAGCTAGATAGTTAAATAATGTGAAATCAAGCAAGGTGCCTGCTAATAGCCTTCACAATCTCTTTATGCCACTCAGATATTTTCCCCCTATTTCTCTTCTCACCTTTCTCAGTATTACGCCATCTCCATAAACACTTGGAAAGAAATCTTTCCTCACCTAGTGTGGACAAATTCACGCTTTTAAAATTTCCACATGCATTAATTCACATTGTCCTCAGATTTACAAAGACGACTGAATCTGACTGTGAACATTGAAAGTAACAGGAGAAAGAGAACAGCAGGAGTGAATTTCTACAAATTGGTAATTAAAGTGCAGTATATACTTACAGCTTATAGGAACCAGCAAACAAGACAGTTGTCGTTCAGAATCCATCCAACTGAAGCCCTATCAAAAGTGAAGCTCATGCAGTAAATATCACACATTCCTTCACAGTATAAAAAAGTTTTCACAAACTTCAAGAAAGATAGCAATATCCTGCTTTCATATTCTTTTTCTCTACATTCAATACCCCATGCCAAGTATTTTGCCTTGACCACTGAACAAACATTTGGAAAATGGGGAGATTATGAACAACTCATACTTTATTTTTTCATTCAGTTTTTTTTTCTCATTTAAAATTCAGCTTCAAAAAGCTGTTTCTAAAAGCTTTTTAAAACTAAATTTTGCACAAATCGAAAATTAAGTATTTATTTTTTTTGCTTTTTTACTTCAATGTATGTACTCTATTAACAACTCTCAGAATAGATTTCCTGGTCAAGGAAGTTCTTTAGTAGATACCTCTGAGTGCCAAAAGTCTAGAGGTGAATTGGATGTTTAAATCTATTTAGATATTTATCATTTTATTAGCATTTTTATGTTGGGGTTCTTTATGCCAAATTGTTATTAGCACAGAAAATGTGGACTGAGGTTAAATAGCTGCACTTGAGAAATGTTTGTTGCAGTCTATTTTCTGAATTTTAGGACCCACTTCGCTTCAATGACCCAATTTTCAGCCCATGGTCCAACAATCCAGCGCATGTGGAAAGGCAAGAATTAAGGCAACGTTTGCCTGTGAACAATGGGGTAAGGAGGTGGGGGCTTTTTCTCCTTGGACTATCAATGGTCTATGGACCACACAAAGAATTCATGCTCTAAAACCAAGAGGTATTTGTACAGTCCATCACATAGTCTGTAAAGGAGCATCAAAAGTTTCAGAAGTAGGTCAGACACGCAAACATGCTTTTGTGTACTCCCAAGATTGTGTGCCACACACCCCCAACTCATTCAGTAAAGAGGGGAAGAAGTCAGATTAGGAGATGTCTAGCTGCTTTGCTTATTCTAATTGGTAGATCCCACAATCCCTAGTCACCTTAAATCTGGTTTTCTTATCCCAAATCGTCAAATTTTATAAATCAAGAATATGGGATTTTCCACAGAAGCATACCAGTCACTACAGTTGAGCTATAGGCCAAATCTGGAGATAAGAAAGAGTTTGAAGGTACTTGGAAGGCTCCATTTGTGAGGTTTCTCCACAATATTCAAACAAGCACATAGAACAAACAATATTCATTGACACTAAGACTGCAATACTGAACACAGACACAGAATATACTCCCTTGCCACAAATATATTCGTATTACCTATAGTACCCTCTGTTGCATTTCAATCGTATTCAATCCTCCACACCCACCATGGTTTCTCACAATAGATGCTGATGAATAACAACATAGGATTACACTAGAACCTTAGTCTAAAGTTCAATACTTTGCCTTCAGATTAATCCAATCCATATATACAAATTGCCCTTTTTATTCAGCGAAATACCGGGGGCAACTTAGAAAGAATTCTTAGAAGTAGAAATCACTACTCGGAATACAAACTCTCCAATACACTATTTAAATCAAGCTTCTCTATTATCCACCTTGCAGTAAAATTCTCCCCGTCCAAATATATCACATTTTCCTCTCCTTTCCAGAGAGGCCTGGAAAAAGCATGACTAAACCTTGGATAGAAGAGCAGCTGTAGCCATCTCACCCCATCGCCCCCCAAGAATGGATACCTTAAGATCCCAAATTCATTCACAAGTGAGAAACCTTGGAAAATCAAGATCCACCCATTTTTCTTTCAACGGGGAAAGAGACCAACCTGTTACACATGCATTTCATAGCAGTCCATTGGAACCCTCCAGACTGGACCACCTGTGTGTCACAACAGAATTTGCAAGCAGGGCTCCTCCGGGATGAAGCTGATTTTTTCCTCTTGATTTTTCCAGTCTGTAAAATGGGGATAATTTCATTTGACCCGTGGCATTATTATTATTATTTTTAAAAAGCGCTTCTAGCAATATATTCGGTTGTAGATAACGAGAACATCTCAAATTCTTTTCTTCCAAGAATGCATCATCCATCAAGTTGACCCAATTCTCACAGAGAGGGGTGGGGGGGAACCTTCTCTTGAAATGGAAAAAAAAATAATTTAAAAAAAATCCCCTTCTCCGAAGGGCAACGGCACTAAGTGATGTTGGCTGCCAGCATAAGTTACAGCTCTATTAAGATAAGGCATGTGATTTTTTTTTCAAAATCTAGATTACGGGTTTGGAGTTCGACAAAAGAATGGGGTAAAAGAGAGAGAGATGGTGGTCTTTTCCTACAAAAAGCCAAGCACCAAATACCCAGGGAACCACAAGATGAAGAGGTGGTAAGGGTGATGCATATTATGGAGCAAGCAAACCCCCTCCCCACAACGAATCAACCCCAGCTGGAGCCTGATGGGCGTTAGCCAGCCTTCCCCACCCCTCCTTGGGCTCAAGCAGAATAAGAAACCAAGCCTTTGTGGGGAGGGAAAAGCAAAGCGCTCCCCACTTACCACCACCACCTCGCCCTGATCCAGAGATAGCGGCTGAAAAAGGCGAGCCTCCTTATTTTGCATTCTCCCACATATTCTCTTACCTGTTCGCCTCGTCGCCCTGCCGCCCCCTCCCCACGCCCCCCGGCCCTGTTTCCTTCCTGTGACGGCCGCACGCTTGCAACGAGACCCTCTTTC